CAATTGAACCATTGTAAGAACTGTACAGAAGCCTCCTATTAGGAAAAATTTTTGTTGGGTTTTTTTTTCCATAGCAACAGGTGTATTATTTTTTCTGCCTCTGTCCTTTTTTTTTTCTTTTTTTTTGAATATCCACACATATTCACATATTCCTCAGGGTCTACTGTGTTTCTCGTTGCCTTCTTAAAATCTCATTAAGCCAGTGGTGGTAATCGTAGGAGACGGAGGCAATTGCTTGGTCATCATTTCTGCATTTCAAATATTTTATAATGCACCTGGGACTTTCTACTATATGAATAAAGCTAAATTACTTAGTTATTTCAAAAATTTAAATAACCTGCATGGCCCACAGGCATGAGAGAATAATTTAAGGTATGTAACAGAAGAAAGGATTTTGAGAATTTCATTGAATCATAGTCAGACTTTCAGGAATCTGCCCAATTTCCACCTAAAGTGGATTGATGCTGACTCTGGTTCAGAGAGTAGTTCCACCAGGAAACCCTTCGGACCACGATGTTTGGGTGGAAAATCTGTGACATCCTAGCTGGGAAGGTAAACAAGAGGTAGTACCTAGGCAGAGAAATGCCCAAATCTCTCCCAAGTCCTGGGGAACCTTGGTAAATTAGGAGTCCTCAAACAATGCCTAAATCAGATTACACTGCTGTCCATATTGTTGTGATGGCATTGAGTTTCTGGACATACAACCCAGTGGTTAGAACACTGTCCTTGAACACTGGAGATGGCTCAAGAAGGTCTAAGCCCACAGCTTTTCATATGGTTTTCACCTGTCCTGATAAAGTTAGACTGCCAATACAAAAAATATTGTACATTTCAGAGACACAGAAGGAAATAAATAATTTTAAATCTTTAAATAAGGGCACATTCCTCAGAATGGAGATTCCTGGGCCCTTGTTCTTTTTTTTTTTCTTCAATTATGGTAGGTAGATATTTTTCATTTCGGAATCCTAAGTTGTATCGCAGCACTGGAAACAAGAAAGAGTAAGAAGTAATATTGGCCAGATAATAAATAGTACAAAAGGAAGTTTTAAGACTTTCTAAAAAATTAAGTACTTAATGAAAAAATTACCCCTGTGCATCAATTTTGAGATTGATTGTTTATCGATTGCCTCTGAGTTAACAATATCACTGATTGGGCTTCCTAACTGTAGAATGTGGACTAAACTCAACTTTTAGCTTAGCAGTGGGAGTTTGGACATTGATCCATGGATACAGCTGCAGCAACACAGTCTTGAGAGTTTGTGGCTGCATTTATACCTGGATGTGTGTCCCAAGGGGCAAAGGGAGCTTATATAGGGACAGAGCACTGTAGAGGAATGTTCACATGTGATGATGCCATGCAGTTGCTAGCTCTTGTAAATTCTTGCAAATCAAAACTTCCACTAGTGACTAGACTTCAGAAGCTATTTGGTTCTTTCCCCATCTTCTGGAACATGATTTGGTAAGGAAGAGTTCAGCTCCTACAGCATCCTGTTAAGCAAAAGCAGTGTTCTTTGTACTATCTTACATTAGCTCCAAGTTTATGTATTTCAAAGATGTGATCATGGTTTAAGTTACAGTGGAGATGTACATTGTGTCATGTACTCTACGCTGAGTCTGAAGTTGCTCATCTCTCTTCCATTGAGTGGGAAACCATCTTAAACTGCATCATGTTGGTAAAAAATGTGGGTATGTGCATAGATTAGTACTGTGGACCTGTGCACATCTAACTTCAACAACATTGCTCCTGAGCTCTCTAGCTAATCTTAAAGGAACAGCACTTTATTTGGAAATTACCTATTCTACTCTGGTTTTCTGAAATGAAAACATTGAAAACAAAGATTCTACAGATGTATAAATACACAGAAATTAAAACATAATTTAAAAATGTAAACTAGTTTGATCCTAATAAAAGTTGAAGTATTTTGAATCGTCATTGCTGGAGCCAGAAAGGAGATCTTTTGTCCTTTCACTAGCCAAAGTAATTTTCTCTTTGGCAACAGGCTTAGATTTCTGATTATGTGGGGATATTATATAAATCTGTAAAGTCTACTCAGTTATTATTGATCACCAGAGTTCAATCTCTTTCTGTACCTACATTTGGATATCATTCTGCATAGCACAAATGCACTTCAGTTGCATTTTGCATTTGGTGTTATTTAACCTGATGTCTTTAGAAACACCTTAAGGTAATATATTTAAAGATGTTCCCTCTGTAGTCTTACTAAAATAGAAGCAATATTTCATTGCAGACAAATTATTATCTCAAAAATATTTTTGTATATATGACATATAGTACATATGTAAAATATTTATCATTTTTATTGAAAAATGACTTAAGAATGAGGAAGTGTTGAGAATAAGTAAGCCAGTAACTTTTCACATACATTGAGCACCGCATGCAGAATTCAAGTGGGCTGTATTGAAATGGAATAAATATGGAATAGCATTTAGAGTAAAAACAAGGTATGCATGTAAATTTGGAAAGTAAAATCAGCAGCATGGAGGCAGTTTTCCTCATGTTTCCTTCAAGAGCTGTGAGCAGAAACAAAGTAGGACTACACTGAGATAATCTGAATTGTCTTTAGTCACATCTGGGTTTCTTACTGTCTGGCCTAGAAGGTTGTATATGTAACAGAGCACTCAAGTTCTTTAGCACAGTTCTGGCCATCTGAATCTAAACCAAGGTACAAAATCTGTGATGTTTGCAATGTGTTCCACACTAGTGGTGTAGCCCTAGCTAGTAGGGGTCTGGTCCTGTTCAAAGCCTTCATTCCTGGTGTGGGCAGTGAGAGCACAGCCCCAGTAAGCTCACAGATGGTGCAGAGCTGGGAGGCAGGGATGATACACCATATTAAACATGCCTATTATTAAACCCTTAAAATTAACTGTTTGGAAGCATTCCAAACATTTCTCAAGAAATTAATGTAGAAATACCCAATAAAGATTACTTGGAGGTGAGTAATTCCATATTGTATCATTCCTTCTGTGATATTACATCTTAGAAATTAATTAAAAGTGTGCTGCTGACCAAAGTAATTGTCCTACTTTTCCTGAATTTGATATGTCAAAGGTCTTTTGTTTTCTTGACTCAACAAGGAATAAAATGGTCTTTTGACATTACCTGGAGATTATCTATGTGCAAGGAAGAATCTATACCTGAAAGATTTTGTGGGTTTTTGTTATATGCAAAGTACTGAGATATTGTTTTGCTTTCATAATTCTACCTTCACCAAGAAACTCTCATGGGTCAGTGAGTAGAAAGAAAAACAAAAATCATACTTCCTAGTAGTGGAACAAGTGCAATAAATAGTTGTTAAACGATCCCCTAAAGATACTATGATCTTCAAATTTATCCTTTATTTGGTTTCCTGCCATCTTTTTGATTTTATCTGGCAGGACAGACAGTAGAAATTTATTTTCATAGCACTATAATGAATGTAAGATTTTACGCTTTTAAGTCTCCTTCCATTCCTTTTCATTAAGCATGAAAGTCAAATCCTCTCATCTAATTTAATTTAAAAATTCAGAATACATCTAATCTAAATTTGCTCTCTGGGCTCCCCTTGCAGTCAGTGCAACAAGATAAGGCTAGAAGAAAGTAGTGTGTTTTGTAGGAGGACAGATTATTTTGCTGCATAGAATGTGGTCTAATAGGATGTAAGAGATGCTTGAGACAGCTGAGGTGAGTAATTTTTGATGCCTGTCTGTCCCTGGCCACTGTGTTGGAAACTCAGATCACCTCAGACTAACAGTTCAGCTTCAAGTTTGATAACCTAAAGCTTACATGAATTTGTTCATTTTTTGTATCATATTACCAGCTGAGCCACAACCTGAGCCTACGACAAGTTTTTCTTTGATACAATACTTACAGAAAAAGTTCCTGAAAAAAGCAGTCATGTCTTCTATTAATAATTTGATATTGCATTTGACCTCTGCTGATGTGGTTTTAAGAAAGGTAGTCCTTGGCATTTCTCATTTTATTAAACTCTTTATCATACAAGCTGTTAAAAAAAGTAATTAAATTTACCTGAGGTCACACTTATTTCGTAATTCCTTGCCATTAAAAACCATAGAGAGAAATTTGAAATTAATTAATGTTACAACCTCTTAAAGAAGATACATGGCAATTCACTAGTAATGTAACTTCTAATGCTGTAACACTAGTAATGTAAGTTTCTATGTCCACCAGACATTTATGATATTTTCAAGAATGACAGCTTTTTTACTTAAAAAAAATGTATTTTCCTTCAGATTCTTACATTAACAATCTTTAATATAGAAAATACAATCAAGCTTCTCATGAATCTGTTCATTTTACCACCCCTCAACCCCAAGGGCTCTTCCTTATTTGTCACTCATTTATATTGAATTTTGAATGAAACTTAGAGAAATTTCAGCCTGGCTTCTTAGAGACTACAATTGAAATTATCAAGCTCATTTTCATTGTCTCCAGTTGGTGACAAATGGCAATTTCATTTAGCAGTGGGTGTTTCTCTTTGAGTTGGATTGATGGATGAGGCCTTTGGAGGTCAGGCCAGCAGCTGACATGGTTACCCAGGACAGCTGTCTGCCCATTCCTGCTGTAGGGTGTCTGTGCTGCTTGTCAGGCAGCTCTTGACCTCTGCTGGTCACTGGTGGAGTGTTTTAAGGCAGACTGCAGTCAGTGACAGCTGACTTTAAAGTGTTTTGCTGCAAATGGTGGTGGGTCCAAAACTCACCGATGAGCAACTCAGACATCTGTATAGCAAAGCCAGACTGGACAGATAGTGTGGCAACAGTGTCAGCTGTCTCAAACAAAGAGCAGCAGCCTTTTTGACAATCATGAGTCATTCATGTTGTCTCTGCCTTTTTGTGTGTTTGGTTTTGTTTCAGGTTATAATCAGCCTGCTGCCTAAGAACCCCAGCTTTGAAATGTTTTTGAATAGGATCATGTAAGAACCCCAGTTGTGTTTTGAGATTTCAGTGCAAAAAACTAAAGTGCTTTTTATTCTTGTCTGTAGGCTGGAGCAAATGTGCTTCTGCAAGATGTTAATGGAAATATTGCACTTGATTATGCTGTAGAAGGGACTGAATCTAGCAACATCCTTCTGATGTACTTGGAAGAAAATGGTAAGTCAGCTCTTTAGCTTTTGGAATGCTTTTATTGAACATGTCATAAAAATAATAAGGATGTGTATTGATCTGATGGAAGTCATGCCAAAGCCAATTGAACTGTATCAGTTTGGGGATGAAAGGGAGGAAGATGATTTGGAACTACAAATGTTTTCAGTGCGTTTAAATTGGAACAACTAACAAAGGTTAATGGCAGTTGTCCTTGTCAAAACTGCTTTTGACCTTTTGTATGGAGATGTTAGAATGTAAAATCAAAGTAGAGAAACTGCAGCAATACAGAAGCTTTTAAAACAACTAATTTAACTATTCAAGGACTAGGTTTCACATTTTGTTCCATTTCCCATCTATAGTCTTAGAGAATACTTTTTTCAAGTGACAGACTACTAAATAAATAAATCTTTGAAAATAATTTGAATGAAAATGCAAATGATACTTCATCTCTCATTCAGGAATATTAGTGTTGGTTTAGGGTTTTTTTTAATTGTGAAAATACTGTAGTGAGGTTTCTATTTTGAATTATGCTTAATATGTTATAGATTACAGGGCTTCTATTGAAAACCTGGGTTTGTTGCTCATCAGTTCCAAACTTAGATATGAGCTTAAGTGAGATTTCTAGCATTGTTTTTGACTATGAGGGGTTGTCTTAACATTGTATGTGGCTCATCTTTACACTGAGGAAAAGGCATTAAGCAAATATAATGAGCAATAATGTAAAAATTTGTATTTAAAACATTGTCTCCATATAAGGAATCTTTTTTAACATAAACTAAGTTAAATTATATTCTGTTAATGTACACTTAAGGAAAATGCCAAGGTCCTATACTGCACACATCCAGTGTATTGCATGTTTTATAATTTTCGTTCCTCGGTGTATGGCGGTGTCTTCGCAGCTCTGGTTTTGGGTTTTTCTAATGGCAAAGCAGCTATTGGCTTCTAAAAGCTTGATTGCCTTTAAAAACACAGATATTTGCTGTCTAAGTGTTCCAAATACTTTGACTCGCATTTAACAGGTAACATGCACAATCCTGTAGCATACAAGATGTGGTCTGCTTATAGTGCTATCTCTTTTACAGTAGGTAAGAGAAACATTATTCCTAATTAAAGAGTGATTCTGTGAATGTTGGAAGTTACCAAATCAAGAAACTTAAATATTTTGAAGGTGACATCTACCTCTACTGACTTTAGGTAGACAAGCTTAACTTAATCACCCAGACCTTTAGGTCAATAGAGAGAAAGAGGAAATGTATGCATTGTTTCATCTCTTTCTAACCTGGCTAGGTGAGGAGAACTGACTTCCAGGATTGTTTCTTTCTGCTGACTAATAAGAACTTAATTTGACAAGTTCTAGGGTTAGATAGTCAGGATAGGTCAATCCTACCCCTTAACTGCCGTTGTGCATGAAGAGCTTGGGATGATCAGTGTCAAAATGCTCATCAACTTTCTTTGGTCTGCTAGTATTATTCTTGAAACAATAGGCAGCTCAAAGTATCCTTATTTTGCACTTGACTTTTGAAATTTAGTTAGGACCTATGAAATATTTGTATAGCCTACCAAGATTAATAGTAACTGAGGAGGAGATTCTTGAAGGGAATTAAGCTGTATGAATAAGTATGAATTATTTTGTATTTCCCAGCCTCAGTGTTTCTCTGTGCATTGTTTTGGTGAAGTTCTCCTTGTAGCAGCAATCCCCATGCACTCCTGCAAATGAATACCTCAACACAGAGCAAGGTCAGGACTAAGCCTGTTTATACAAGATTAGCTGATCCTGTATTAAATACCACCTTCTGCCTGTAGTATTGAGAAACACCCAACCAAAGTCTCAGCCTTTAAATACAATGTATAAGGAATATTTCCCTATTCTCTGAACTTCCCTACATTCCTAAAATGGTTCAATTTCATTTTCATGTTTCAATTCTCCTTTCAGTTGTGCATCCTGGTTTACAATATTAAGAAGAGATTTGTGTGTAGAGTAGACTATACTTTAATCATTGCCTCTAATTGCAGAGATCACAGAGAAAAGTAAAATTAGGTGCCTTATAGCTTAGCTAATGAGAAAAGCAGAAGCTATCAATTTATGTTGATGAAACAAAGATTGGAACAAGTAACTTTGAAACCACAGAAAACATTGTTAATTGGAAACATTAGAGTTCTTAGAAGTCTAGTGTTTATATGACTTCTTACAGATTTTACTACTGTGGTAGTTCACTGTATCTGTTTAATTTTACTACAGATCTTAGTGACTCAACTGCTCTTCATTGTTTGAAGTAACTTAATTTACTCTGCGGAAGGCCTGGAGCCATAAGTGATAACAATAGCCTTGGATGCCTTTAATGATTTATATGTTTTAAAACAGTTACTGGAGTTAGTTCTTTGATTTCTGCTTGTAAATGATCTGTTAGGGCACAGGAGTACCACAAGTACAAAATACTGTAATCATCTAGCAACTGCCAGAAAGCTTTGATATATTCCATAATAGTAAAGTATATAACATATAAGGATGTTTTGTGGAGATTTTATTACTGAAGTCTAATGAAATTAATACTATTTCGTTAAAATATTCTCTTTTCCTGTACAGAAATTAGTTTTCTCCGCTATTATATTACATTATATAAATAATGTTATGTTGTATTAAGTATTTATTAACTGAAGAAAGGAATTAGCAGACTTGAGATACCTAAGAGAACACAATTTGAGGTACACATTCTCTGTATATTAAGAGCATTGTTTCTGTTGGGTAATAACTGGCATGTTCTTAGTTTCATTTAAGATATCTCTAATTGAGGGTGGAAGGGAAATACAGCAGCCTACTTTATGCTTAGGAAAGTGTGTGGAACAACTTAACTGTATCATATTAGGTTATGTCCAAGGGGCATTCAGAAGCCTAGTGGGCTCATGAGCTCAAGGACTCTATTTGGATTGCTTTATCTAAATCTAATTTCTGGTAGCCACTCTATAGCAAACCTTCTTAGAGCAAAAGAGATGCTTTGAAGGTAGGCATCTATAATGAGGCACGTGAATTAGAATCTGAACTGCCTGCTTCTTTCCATGTGCTGTGGAGGGAGCCCAGAATGGCCAGCTGGGACACAGCAGTCTGCTGTGTAGGATGACTTTTAGGATAAATAAATTTACAGGTCTGTGTGTAGATCCCTATTCAGTATTCTATACTCCTATCAACAACAGTGCAGTTCTAGGAAATGCTGACTGTAGAGAAAGGAAGAGTTATTAATTTGACCAGCTACAAGGAAAACACCAGTAAAAGCTGTTATATTTGTTCTGTGCCAAGATGCCATTGGTTTTCCGTGTTACTGGTGTTTCTGTTTTGCTATGAGAACAGTCATGACTTATTTAAGGATTTCAATATCTGCTGAGGAAAGGCCAACTGAGGCCAGGTAGGACTGGAGATTCTGCTTCTCTCTGGGCTTCCATTCCAGTGCCGAGCCATCTTTATGTAATTTCTTTTCATTTTGTTTTCATTTGAAGTTTTCTTTATTGCCTCTTACACCTTCAGCTTCAAATCCATTCACTGTTTACTTTCAGGAAGTGTCTCACTTCAGAGGTGAAATGAAAATAATAATGTGTCCTGGTTTAGGGCAAATTTGGGAGGAAACTTTGAAAGGGGTCCCTCCAGAAAGCAGATTCAAGAAGCCCCACTCCCCCACCTCATTCAGGAAAAGATTCCTTGGAGAAAAGTGGAAAAAAACCTCTTTATTTAACAAGCAAAGTAGTCAGAAACATATTAAATGAGTAATATTAAACAATAAAACCTCTCGCTGTTCTGAAGAGATGGCAAATTCAGAAAGTCCTTGTCATGGGATGTAGCTTGACTCACTCAGTCTCTTATCCCTCCAGCACTGGAAAATTCCATGTCCCCGGCCCTGATGGGCCACAGGTGTGAGCTCCTGGTGTTCTTCTGGGTTTTCTGTCCAGAGCAGGGCTGATCAGTTCTAAGAAAAAGAAAAAAAACAGTCCAGGAAACTTCTCTGCCTCAGCTAGCTAAAAAAACTAACAAAAAACCACAGAAGAGCTCCCTCCCACTGCCTGCTACAGACAACACAGTCCAGGAGTAGGATGTGGGGGCACAAGTGCAGTTTCTGATAACAAACTCCGTGCTTCTTCTCCCCCTCTTCTCTCTTGGAACCAGTCTTAAGGTACAGAACTTAATATCCACCATAAACAAAAATGGCAATTGGGAATACCCATCACAAAGTCACCCAGCACATAATGTAAAAAGGTGATAGTTTTTTCACTATTTGTCCTGCTTTATTCTAAACCTATCTGATTGATTATTGAAATAATCAAGAAAGTCCACCCAGCACCTTCCATAACTTTTGTTTTGATTAATTACAGCTTTAGTTTTAAGGCAAACCTTTTGAGTCACTTATGGCATTTTAAAACACTCAAACTTTGAATGACTGCCAGTGTTTCTGGAAGCAGAATGTTCTATTGTAGAACTGTGTCAGTGAAACTCTGATCCTTGTTTCTTCCTTTTACACTAGGCTGTTTAAAATATTTAATACTTTGAGGAATGCAGCATTTTTGTTTATTTTGTTACTTGATATTTACTTGTAGTGGATTGCATGACTCGGCAATAAACTAAAACTGACTGACAGATAGTTCTTGATTCTGTATTTGCCAAGTCATTGGAGGTGACACATTTACTGTAATTGATTTCCAAAGAAAATATCCTCTTTTGTCCTCCAAGATCTCAAGCTTCAGTTTTCACTAAGATAACTCTGCACTCCAAGAGCATCAGCCTTATTGTTGAATCTGAGAAAAGAATGTTTGGACATTTCCTTTTTTTAAGAACTGTCTACATATCCCAGGGACCTCAAAGCAAATTTAATGGCTTTCTTGTCTGTTGTGTAGTGAGAGTTTCATGCAGTAGCAGATAACTACTTAAGCAAAAGAAAACCATCTGTCTTGATTTTATTTTTTGAAGATTGATTATATTCTGTATTTAAATAACATATCTACCCAAATGTAGGGATGGTGCTCCT